CCCGACAGTCCGTAATGAAGAGGAGTGTACCTCACTGTATGCGACGTAAAGCACTTCAATTTCGACCTTATTCAATATTGTTTTTCATGTCTAGTTGAGGAACACTTTATAAACTCTATGTATTCTGCTTTACAGCTGAAACAGATGCGAATGAGATGATAAAACTTGCGTATTTTGAGCGATTTGTTTTTATTCCTTTTTTGACATTCCCAATAGCGTTTAGCAAAAATGAAACCCATCTGTGTGGTCCTTGTATGGACCCCTACAACATGCAACAAATCGTTTTGAAAAAGCTCACCACGGCCTGAACGACCTCCCTTGTAAGTATAATGTGACGCGAAGGGATTGCTATGAAGTGGTCTATGCTGCATGGATATATGAATACATACGTGCAGCCGTACTACCGTAGCGATTATTGGCAAGATGCCTACGGGAAACTCGTCCGAAATTGCTTTTTGAGTCATTGAGAACGAAGGCTTTTCTTCGCAGGTTTTTGACCGTTTCACTTCGTTTTTCGCCATTTCCACTACATAGCGTACTGCTAGCAGCTCTGGCCGAGTACCAAAATATTGTGCCAGTTGCCTTTAATCCTTTTGGATGCATCGATTTCCTGTTTTTCTCTGTTCTCTGTCTTTTTGGCATTTATGGTCACTGTTACCTAAAACAGTCCAATTTTTCGCAAAAGATAAGTGGCTGATGATCCCTCCCTTCGAAGAAGCCCATATCCTGGCTCGCCATGTGTTTCTCGAACATTTCCTTGCCTTAGCAGGCGCAATCCTCAATCTATCTGCAATTATCGCCTAATCTGTTCGTTGTCTGTAATCTACGAACTCTTCAAAGAGTCATTTCAAACAAGATTGGCAGAACACCGGCAGTAATGCGTGAAAGCACGGTTTCGAAGAGGATTCAAATTGATCGGTCACATCCACGCGGTTACGAAGCTCATCGTAGTACCGCTAGCGTACAATATACCTTTTGTCGACTTGGAGAGTGCTTTCGACTCCATGGAACGGTTCATTATCGAAGACCCGATCAACCAGTTCCCTGCCTATACATGAGGATCCTTTGTGAGCATCAGGGCAACCAGGCGATTAGCATCTCACTATTCTGCAAGGGGATCATTAACGACGTGAAGCGGGTTTTATAGAGCGACACTATCTAGCTCGAACTCTTCGCCGCCCTTTGGAGCGTCATGCGTCAAGCGGAACATGGAGGCACGGGGGTTAAATTGAGAGCCGGCAACTACATCACCTCTGCTTTACTGACGACATCGTGTTACATGATTTTTTTGGCAGTGGACTTTTCCGCTCAAACGGTGGAGCCATTGGCCTCTAAAGACAACGATTTGGTCGAAACATTGAGCAAATTTTGATAAAAATATTCCAGCCAAAAGAGCCTTGTAAGGCACAAGACAATTGAACAAACTTACCACTAATATAGTGAGGTTGCAAGCCACGAAGAGGGGAACCTTTTCACAATCCCAGAGAATCTTTCCCTAAATTTTGACGGAAATTTTGCGATCAGTGTTTCAAGACGCGCGCTTCGGTGTACGTCACGCTGCAAATGGTCGGGCTGAACTGGCTAGTTTCCCTGGTGAGCAGGAGGAAGCCACCGGCTTGAAGGAACACTCAAACATGTCAAGTGAGTGGAGAAGAACTCGACGAACAAATGTGATCTACTGCAAAATCAAAAAACAGTGCTGAAATCCAATGAAATGCAATCCATAAGACTCCCACATTACACCTCACTTTTTTTCTGGGTCTGCTTTTCACAAAAGTACTCGTTGTGTTTTCGTTGTGAGAGTTTCGATCGACGGGAAAAACTCACTCCGCATACCATTTCCACTTCTTTTAATGACTTTAGTTTTTGAATTTGGTTGTTCTAATATAGAACATAGTTTTTCATCATTCAGTGACTGTTCAGCTCTCAGTACTACTGCCTTTCCCATTCTTGAGTGAGCCCTGCGCTTTCGACCTTCCCTCTTCTGCACCACTCTTGTGATCAAATACGACCTCTGCGACTTCATCAACGGTGCGATCTCCTCAACAATGTCGTGCTTCGCTCGCAATGCACCTTGCAATGCAGCGCAAATAGGCTTCTTGAAGCTGACTCGCTGGCTTCTTCGTGAAAGCTCTGAATGAGTGATGTGGTGGTCATCGTGTCCGTCCAGCACAAAGAACCCACTGGGAACTCTAGAGCCTAGACGAATGGATAGACTGCCGGAGCAATTAGATGATCAAGGAGAGCAAAGGTGATGCAGGTGATAACCAAAGTATAGATGGTTCCGTGAAGTTTCGACAGCGACGAGAGAATTCCTGAGCTTAGGCTACACGCTGTCCCTTGTTGTGACCCCGGCATGATGTCAAATGTTTAATTATTTCTGCCAAATGAGAGCATTGGATGAAATCTTTTATTCTCTGACCTCCTGCTCTTCTTCAGAAGCCTCAAAATGGTTCGAAGAACCTAAAGAAGATGGTACTTACCCAACCAAACGCCTTCCGTTCCCGGCTAGATAGCGAATTAAAAGCTTCGATGGGGTTTCAGGCCTCTGAAGAAGACGAGAATGTAGAAGTGTCAGGCTAATAAAAGGTTCCATCTAACGACCTCTTTTGGCAAAAGTGACCAAACATTCTATAAATGGGCATCTCACTGCAACATCACTTCATAGAATCAAGGACTTCTTTCAGAAGTCTTCGAATAATTGCATTCTGCAAACCATACGACGGCGACTTCACTGTGAAAATGTCACGTTGCTTGTTTTGCTTGGAAATCGTGCGTTGCATTCCGTGTCCCACGTGAAATTAGCGAGGTTCATGTGTACTGCAGGGTCCAGTGATGGTGCACCATACGTCTCAACTCATTTTCTTTCCCTAGGATCGAGCTGATAGCTCAGATTTCAAAAACTCATCCTGTTGAAGGGGAGGTCTGCGGCAGAACTATGTAACTATTACGATGATTTCTATTGTAATTTAGCAACATTAAAGAAACCTAATAATCCTTTCCTCAAAAGGTTTATCCAATTAGTGATTCAAGTGTAAAGTGGTCATTAATGATTTATGCGTTTCTATCAAGAACCAGGTTCA